AATATTCCTAAATATTTGCGGATATTTATTTATAGATAAATAAATAAAATTTCCAAAATATTTTACTAATAATTTTTATTTATTCTAATATTTTTTTTAAAAAAATAGTAGTTTAAAAGTTAGAACTTAAATTATTCAAATATTATACATAATTTTATTGATCAAGAACTTTCAATTTTAAAACTAAATTTAATTGTTAAAATATTTTATTTATATAAGTTTAAACAAATTTAATATATATTTATGTAACAAATTTAATATATAATTATGTGATTGAATTTAATGAATACTCACAAATATTGATACTATATAATACATATATTCACTTTATTAACATGCAAGTTTAAAAAGTACCTGCGTTCTTTATTTACATATATCCATTTACAATATCTATTTTCTATTCATAACAGTTTTTATTTGCAAATATTCATGAATACCAATTATTTTGACATCATACTTTGTGGACATTCACAATTAAACAAAAATATATTTCTCAAACATTTCAAATTACTTTTCATTAAAATATATATATATATATATTATTTTCTTAACCGCTGATTTGTTTTAATTTTTTTAAATATAACACAATTCAAATTATTTATTATAAATAAAAATATAATTTATATTCATAAAAATATTAATTTATCATTAATTATAATAGTAATCATATAAAAATCAAGATTTAACTTGTACAATATACACAGTGAAATACTAACACTATAAGGAAAAACAAAAATTTTCGACGAACATGGATCCGTCAAAAATTTTATATTTTTCGGCAGAGCGTCAGAAATTTCTGACGGATTTATATTTCTGTCAAAAAATTTTAATGGAATTTTTCGTCAAAAATTTTTCATCGAAAATTTCTGACAAAAATATAAATTCCTAAAAAAAATTTGACGAAAAAATAAATCCGTCAGAAATTTCCGATAAAAAATTTCCGAAAAAATAAATAAAAAATATGTAAGATTTAATTTAAGACAATAATATATTTTTTTATGAAAGACGATAATATAAAAATAAATTAAATAAAAAATATTAATACATTTTTTTTTGTATTTTATTAACATTATGTTCTTTGTTCATTTTATATATTATAAATATTTATATTTTAAAAGGCTTATATAATTTTTTTTATCGATTGTTTCTCAAAAACATTTTATAAAATGTAAGCCCTATAGTAACTAAGCATTAATGGAGCGTACAAATTTCCCCTTTTTTTTTGTTATAACCATAAATTCTTCCTCTTAAGTATGAAGCTTTTAATAACTTGTCTTTTTTAATAAAGACTTTATTAATTTTAAAATGTTTATTAATTATAATTAAATTTAATTAATTTACTTACTGTTCATATAGATTAAATTGAATGCCCACCAAAAATAAAAACTTAAAATGATTTAAATTATTTATTAATTATAATAAAATTGAATTAATTGTAGTGATTTAAATTAATTTAAAGGATGAAAGATAAATTCTATTTTAAATTAAGATTTAGTTCATTTCAATCTTTAAAATTCAGGTCAAATTTATTTTTTGAAATCTCAAATTTAAAAATAATTTTTTTTAGTTCAAATTAAAATATTAATTTTAAATATAAGAAATTAAAAAAACAAACTTAATTTAAATTAAAAAATAAAAGATATTACTAATCATTAGTTTGAGTGGTATTGAACTTAATTTCTTTAAATAAGATTTCAGATTTATATATATTATATATGAAAAAAAATTGTTTGAGAAGAAAAGTTAATAAGTCAGATTCTCTGATAAAAATTAATAACCAATAAAGTGGATGAATACTTGATACATCATAGTTATAAAAGAAAATTGATGTTTTATCCTTCAAAGTTAAGTTTTATTGTTTTAACACTATTTTAACTGATATTACGAGTACAATTTTTGTTAGATATTAATTTATTTTTATTTTTTAATAACAAAAAAAATGTTCATAAAAAAGTAATAAAATATATTTAAAAATTAAATTAGAAGCAGAAGACCTATATTTAATTTTCATTGCGGCCATTTTTGTAATATTTCTTATTTTTACTTAAAAAAAAAACTCAAATAAATAACATTCTGTATTGATCTAATTATTTGTCCCGAGTCAACTATTTTTCATTATGACATTGTTTGTCCTGAGTTAGGATAAACAAAATTTTCCAAATAATTGGTGTCAATTTTTTTCCCCAAATAATGAATATTTTACAGCTAAGCAAAACAAAAAAAAAATGCAACTTACCGTAGTTAGAATTCATTACTCAGGAGTTAATCTTCTATGATCATGATTTTAAATGGAAAAAGGACCATACTTTACTGTATCTTGGCTCACCAACCATCACCAAGCATGGCAAAATAAACAGACATACCATAATGGACACTCTAAAATCTAAATAAATAAATCTATTAAACCTTATTATTAAATTGCCTTCCATTTTCGAATCTATGTCCCAATTTTTATTCACCTTAAACCAACCCTTCTCTCTCTGTCTCCCTATTCCAGTTTTCAATTTTTCATTCATGGATGCCCACCTTCTCTTCTTCTCCTCCTAGAGGCAACTCTCTTTCTCCTCTTTCTTCTCTCTCCTTGTTTCTATTCAACCTTCATTTCATGCCCCATCAATCAAAATCTCAACTTTTTTAGACCCATTTGATTTTTTCTTTGTTCTATTTGAGATATGCTGAGTTCTGCCTGAGAATAATACAAAAGGGGAGACTTTGCATCTGTCAGCACTCACCACATGAGTTTCAGAATGATGGCAAATGGAGCACAGAAAACATAGTTGGATTTCGATCAGTACCTGCATCATAGTCCTATTGGGGTACTGTATTTTTTGTTTGTTTGTATTTATTTTAGTTTTTCTCTTAGATTTTTTTGTACTAAAAACCGTTTGAAAGTGAAGTCTTCAGTTTTCACATTAATGAGCAATAGCATCTTCTCTGTATTCAGTATTCAGATGCCAATCTCCATTCCTAGGAAAACAAAAAACAAGAGGTCCTAAGTCACATGCAGTGAAACCTTAGCTGATACTCCACATTGTTTTTTGAACTGAGCATCATATATAAAAAAAACTCCATTTTTGTGACAGGTAAAAGTATTTCCAGCTCAAAAAATTTTGGTCTCTGCTTCCAATTTTGTCATCTTGTTGGGGTCGTGATCTCCACCATGGCAACCACATTAAAGGGAATCTACAAGAGTTTCAAATTCATCACCCAGATTTTTGGTAATATTTTATGCATCCTCCAATGAAAATTTGATTTTCTGGGTTTTGTTGTTGTTGGGGCTAAGTTGGGAAGTGGGTACTGTTCCAGTTGTGAAGGAGCGGGAGATGGAAATTGGGTACCCGACAGATGTTAAGCATGTGGCTCACATTGGATGGGATGGCCCCTCAGGAACTGGACCCAGTTGGGTACGAAGCTGATGCGCACTTTACCTCTCACATTTTATTTTTGTCATTTTCTCTTTTCTTTTGTTATCATTATTAGTAAATATTGTATACACTTTCATTATGATTATTCCACGCTAAAGTTTGTTTACTTTTACAATAACCGCATACAAGTGGCACAAGTGATGATTACTGATCGGTTGAGATTGTAATTTTTTTTATGATGACAATGCATAGAAATTAATCTTATTATTATTATGATTATTATTTTGTTCTTTTATGCAGATGAATGATTTTAAGACAGTGCCTGATTTCTCGACGTCACTAGGCAACTTAGGTGAACTAAGTGACCCCAACGCTATGGCTGTGACAACATCATGGTCCTCCCAAGGTATGCTTTGCTTCTCACTTCTCATGCAGCAAAATATCATCTGAGTGGAGTGTTGATTTTCGCTTCCGAATGTGGTGCCGTTAAATATTGAGATCCTGTATTCATGTGGAACCGTGCAGTCTCATTAATTAATTTAAATAATACAAATAGATGGCGCTTCACGGGTTAGCTAGTAAAAAGGGAAACGGGGATTTGATTATTATCGTGTCTCTTTATTATCTTCTAGATAAATTGTGAGGCTTGCAAAAGCTATCTAGATTCTTTGCCTCCATAGACAGAGTTTGGCTGTTCTGTCACGAGCAAACTCAGCTTCAACGTGGGGAATCTAATGACTCTTGGCTTTACAAATTAACACTGTTTCAAGTGGTCCACACCAGAATTTCTTAAACGGAGTAGTTTGGTTGTATTAAATTTAGTATTCAATATTGATATTGATATGAACATTTTTTTTTGTCTATAGGTTTTCCACGTGGTAAGTTTCCTCAACGTGATCAAGTTAAACACACTAAAAAACTGAACAACCTAATTCAATGAAAGCTGCAAAACTGTATGAAGAGTCCTATTAGTTGAGACCATAAGAATTGTTCTTTATTGGTGTGTGATTAAGATGGAACCACCATTATGTGACCTTCTAATATGTTCTCCATGAATTTCTTGCTATCATTCATATCAAATATGTGCTAATAGCTAATTGTAACCTAACAAGCACAAACACTTGTAAATAGTGTGTTGTCTTGTTACGGTATCAAATACGTATCCATGTTGGATGCTACATGGATATTTCAAATACTTTTGATTGCATTTTTATAATTTTTAACTCTTATTTCTCAAACTTTTATACCAATACTGGGTAGAATAACACAATATTAGATGGTTTTTTTGTATTTTATTATATTTATAAGGACTTATACTCATTCTTAAAACATGAATTCTCTCTTGTGGTTTAATTTTTTATTTTATTTTATGTTAACTTAGGTTAATTTTAATTTATTTTACTATAGCCGTGGCATAGCCTATAATTTTTTTAAATTTTCCATATTCTCGTATCTATGTTTGCATTGTATCTATATCCCGTATTGTATTTCTGCTTCCTAGACTGTAACAGCAGCCAACCTAAACAATCTTAGTTTTTGGCCAAGGTATACACCTGATCTCACCCTTTAAAAAGCCTTATGAATGTGTTACTTAAATGGGTAGTTCTTGGAATTGTATTTTGGGAATCATATTGGTATGTTTGAAGGCGGTTATTGGTCTAGACTCATTGTATAAGCAATATGTTCGAGTGTGGGTCCAATGCATTTGGAGTATCTGACTCCTGACAATTAAGAAGTTAATTGAAAAGGAGGTAGTGATAATCTCTGTTTGAAAGCATGCACTCTGTGCTCAGAACTCGGAAGTACTAGTTTCAGATGCTAAGAAATTAGTTTAACCACACAATTGTGTGTTTAAAATAGTCTGTCTACATATGTTTTCTCCGCATGTTACCTTTAACTGTATTCACTCACTGTACATTACTGATTCCACACTCATGATCATCATAAATGCAATTACGCAGTTACATACTACTAGTACTAGAACTTATTTTATTTCCATTGTTTGTAAATTGTGATTAAATTTTCTGCTAGTTCTAGGTGAGAATCATCTTTTTATATTCTTTTAAACTGTCTGCTGGGTGTAGGAACTGTATGAATGTAAATCAGATCTGTGTTTACCTGATGCCATGGATTTATTTGTTTGGTTTGGATATTGTTTTTCTCTATGATAATCATTCCGTACTTGAACCCTTTGAACAGATTTTGAAGAGTCCACAGGAAGCCAACCAACATCAAACATTTACAAAGGCATCTCATCTACAGGGTTTCCTCATGTTTCTAAGAAATCCAAGCAGAAAAAGAACAAGTCAGCTTCCTCTTCTGAGTCGCTATCTTCATCAAGACAATCACGAGCAACAAAGTCAAAGGCTACATATAGTGAGAGAGAAGCAACACCAATTTCTCAAAAGTAGCAGGTCCAATAATATGGAATTAGTGGGAGAGAAAAAAAGTCTTTGTGGATAGCAAGACAGTGCTTTCATCTGGTAATTCATTAGGGGAAGAAAGAAAATAAAGGTGGCTGTAAAAGTTTTCCTGCTGTTTAGTAAATCATAGTCCAGAGAGAGGAAAACCAAATTGCTGTCTACAGGCTGAGATTGTAAGAGAAAAGCCAAAAGGTTTTTCTTGGATGATAGAATATGTGATGAGTGTTTGGTTTTCTCTAAATCATATGCATCCTTAAATTCGTTAGGTGTTTTGTCAGTTTTGCAGATTAAAATGAATGGACAAGGAAAATGATATAGTACCAATAGATGCCTATTTAACAAGATTACTATGCTAGTAGTTGATGATTCTTGAAGTAGAATGAATATATTCAGCGCACTTATGTATATACCTGCGGCTTTAAATGCTAGTGAGGGGGATTTAAAGTTGTTGGTTTTGCTTTAACATGTTAGCAAAAAATTTGCAACGACCCTCGGTATCCTCATTGCTGAGTGATATTCATGACTCAATTGGTCGTGATTAGAACTTGAATGTGCATTCTGTCGTACTTTATCTTGTTTTTTCTTTGTAGTAGTCCATTCATAGAACTTCTACGATTCTTTGAGCATGAATAGAGGTCACCAAAATATAGAAATGTTTTGGTTTTTGCTACATACAAATCATAGCTCAACAAAGTTGAGTCCAAGAACCTGGGCTAGTATTAATATTTGCACCTCCACCAAAGAAGTGTCAGTTTTTAGTGACTAACCGTGTTTGGAGCAAGATTCAGATTCTTTCCAATAAAGGATACCTACAAAATTAAAAAAAAAAATATAACCCCTAAAGTAAAGGACGAGTTGTTAGATTTTATGTATGCATTATGTCGTGTTTGTGACGCAAAATGATTAGTCAATAATTTGTCATATCAAATCTTCGAAAGATACAGAAAAATTCACCTGCTGCTTTATTTATTATGTTGATAGCATAGATATTTTTTTAAAGCAGGATAAGAACATATCCATATGATCACCAACTTCTCATGCATTATTCCTTCATTAATTCATTTTGAATATTGCTTTTTATTAACAGTTAAACGCTTGATTTTTTTTATTTTTATTTTTTCATTTTGCCATTGCAATTATTTTTTTAATAAAAATTGCAAGTAGCATGAGTTTTCTTTCTTTCGTTGGTCCTTGCAACCAATGTAAAACGGTAAGTAAAATGATACGAGATCATGTGTTGCACAGCTGCAGCAAGCGTGATGCATGAAACGGTGAAGAACCTTGAAATTTCTCAGGTAAAGTTCCCTCCCCCCCTTCCCTTCGCAAAAAAAAGAAGGTGTGTGTATATATATAAATATATAGCCTCTTTGCCTCCCCAAAAGGAACAGAAGGCAGAATATAATGTTACAAAGAAAAATTGAAAATAAAAAGCAGAACACTGTTCTGTAAATAAACGACAGAAAAACTCAATGCTGCCAAAATGATAATATTACAATAGATAAGTAGACAAATAAGACAAGAGAAATACAAGTTATTGTCTTGGGGGCAAAAAAATTAGGTCAACGCCAATTTTGAAGAAGACGAGAGAAAAAAAAAGTAAAAACACAATAAAACATTATTACATGATTTGATTCATCTAGCCAATCCAATTATTAATGAAGAAAGGTTAATGTACGCTCTTGTTGTACTAGATGTTTACTCAAAAACAAAAAAGCACGTGCAAATAAAGGCCCACAGAAGGGTGTAGCATGGAAAAGTATTCAGCTACAGAGAATTTAAATGGTCGTTAGTAGTAGACCTGCCAAATCCATTCCCAGATATCCTAATTTCATCACTACCATTTTACTATTAGAGAACCAAGTCCATTTCCAATGCATACATAGTGGGCCAGCTTTTGAGCGTGGAACCTTTCACAATCAAACACTTTAGGAAGAAGAGGGACGCTAGTTGAAGTGTCACTTTCTATGCTTATGTTATAGGGAGCCATTGGTTGTGATATAAAACAAATAACAGTAAACATGGGTTCTACAGAAATGTTTCTCCTTCCAGAATCTCTTTATGTTCCCTGGCACAAATTAAAGCACTTTTGTGTCCCCACATAATTACCCTACACTGCCCCGCAACTGTGTAGCTATTAGTTATCATGATGGAAACTCAGATATAATTTTATAGGTGCTTTAGTTTTGATATTCTTTTAGGATCGGAATAAGTTTTACCTTGGTAATCTATGTAAATTTTTAACACAATCTTTATTATGTAAATTATTGAGGTGAAACTTTAGTCCAATGAAAAAAAATTATAAACTGTATTTAAGTTTTGTAATTGTATATTGACACGTCACCTCGGAGTACAGAGTTGGGAGGGGGCTAGAACTACTGTTCAATTTGAGGCAAATTAATTTGAGAATTGGTTTGATCATTGATGATGCACTGCAATCATGAATATGAACCACTGTCAATCTGTCACGCAAACATTTCTTTCTAGGAATAAACATTTTGATATTTTGATTGGTGAAGCTAATGTAACAGACCTGAAGGTGCACGGAAATCAACAATCAGTTATTTCCTTGAGTTCTTGATAAAGAAACAGACACCGAAATACTACGTATATAGAAATGCTGGTAACTGTTTTACCTTTTACAATGAATAGTGCTCTATTAGAGTCCATTGTCAAGAAACAATTCCATTGGACAATTCCTTTGTATCTATCTACAAGTCAAAAACCAAATTATGAAATTTTCTTTTGGTTGTGGGCAACTTGTATTTATTCTGCATGTGGTGTTTCTGACTTTTCGATATGATTAATTTATACGATTTAACTAAAAAAATTATGAAGCTCGTTTTAGTTACTTTCAATTTCTGATGGAACTGTGCATCAAATTAATGATGAAAAATGATATAGGTTTAAAATTTATGTTGCAGCACCTACTCAATTTACAAGGTGGACCCTTTGATTTCCATACTATGCTATGCAATTACAAAGCATTGAAGTTGAGTACCAGAATATGGTTCATTGAAATATAAATGCATAACTACACTATTGAAGTCAAGCAAATATATATAGTAGTATATTCTATCCCTAGAGATTCTTCCAAGGATTTTCCTCTCATAAGTGCATCGAATAAATTGGAGCATAGGTAGATTAATGCATGGAATTGTGGCGACAATATTTGTAAAACTAAATCAAAGCTACCATGTGGAGCAGCCATATACTAAGAAGAAATTGCTGAACAAATTTTGTTGCGACAACTTGTGTTCACATTAATGGTTGTTTAATGCTGGCTCATCTGGCTACAACATTCGACTTGAGGGCCAACCATATTAAACACGTATTAGATACTATTTATTGTTGATGTGGGTGAACCTCATTGATTCAGTTGCAGAAATACATAATTCAAAGGGAATTGGACACATGCATGAGTTGGGGGCAGATTTCAAGAATATACTCCATCTTCTAACATTGAATTCACAGAGAATAGATAACCATCATTAGGTAAAGTGCCTTCGAATATGGACTAGGTGCTATATATTGTCATACCAGATATATAGCTCACATGGCCATAGCATGTGTAGGTTACCTGATCATGCCAATTAACAGGAAACATACCTAAAATATGAAAAACACAAATGGAGAACATTAATTAAATTGCTCAACTGAATAATTTCTTTTGGATGTTGCACGACATTAATCAGTTCCCTCAAGCTTCGTGCATCTTATTCTTAAAGAAAGATTTAGTGGGCCCACGAAACATGCAATAAATGATTATTAGGTCATTTCCACATCCATTACTAAGCAGCCAGCGACTCAGTAGCTGAGTAGGGACGACATTACTCATTAACATGGATCTGATTCTGATCTTAATACATGAATGCTTTTTCCCAGTTTATATTACAAGACTTTATGTCCAAAATAGGAGTGTCTCGACCGCATATTGTAGTAGTGATGATTGGGAAACAAGATACCTGAGCAAGTACTCGTAGCTGTAAGAACATGATTATCGAAAAGGATGTTGGCAATGGAAATACTCTTTGGGATTTAATAAACCAGACTTTTTTTATAATTAAGGTGTAAGTTTTTTTTTAATTATTTTTTTATCATAATTCATCGGGTATCTCAAAATTAATAATCAAAGACTAGTTTATTTTTATGAAATATGATTATGATTGAACAAACATTATTTTAATATTGATAGAACTCAAACACCAAACTTTTTTTTTCTTCGTATTTTCTTTATTAGTTTTACTATCTTTCTCGGTGCCTTTGACATTGGAGTAAGTTATTTGAAAATTAAAGTGAGTAGCTAATCTCATATTAACTTGGCATAGAAAAAAAAAATTCATATTATTTAACCGGTAAAAACACTTAATGGAAAGATATATAAAAGATGTGACCCATATATTCAATACTTTAAAATTTTAGATAATTATTATTGATTTAGTTGTAAAAAGTTGAGATAATATGTATCATGTTGTGGAAAGTATAAAAATATTAAATGAGAAGATTAATATTTTTTCTTGAAAAATCCAATGAGAGGAGTGTAAATAGAGGTGATAATGAATCGAACTAATTCGAAAATAATTTGAAACTTGATTTGATAATTAATTTATTGAATTTGATTCATGAATCAAATGAGTTGAATTTGAGCTAAAAATTCAGCTTTGATAAATAAATAAGTCAAACTTGAATTATATGTAATTCAATTTTTTTAATTCATACATTGACTTGACATATAAATATATAATTTATATAATAAACTTTCTATTTAATTTTATCTTATTAAAAGTTATAAGTTAATAATAACAATAATAAAAGAAGTGAATATTTTATAATTTCATGGTTATAGATTAAATTTTTTATTATTTTATGTATGGTGGGGTAGATTTAATTTATACAGACTTTAATTAGTTGTAATTATGTGTTTTTAGAGATGTACCTTATAATCTTAACTAATAGAATAAATTATGTTTTGACTTTAAAAAAATATTTTTTTATATAAAATCTATTATTAAATTGAAAATTTGAAATGTATGATAAAATTCAAAAAAATTGAGTCTTAGTTTATGTGATTCAAGCTAATAAACTGAATCAATGTGCTAACGAGCTTCAACTGAACTACTAACAAGCTTTAACCAAGTTGCTAACGAGTTTCAACTATGCTGCTAATGAGCTTAAATCGAGTCAAATTACAATAGGAAAAAAAAATTATGTTAAAATCGAGTCAAGTTATGAATTAAGTCAAATGTTATCGAGTTGATCTAAGATAAATTAAGCTTAGTTTAATTTGACTCATTTTCGGTCTTAAGTGTAATAAACAATCTCACAAAAAAAAAATAAGTAGGCCAAAT